AAAGCATTTCATCTACACATATAAATAAGTAGAAAATAAATACTTTGCTAGTTTACTGTTACTGGGTGTGTGAATTTTGCACATCCTCAGACTTTGGAAATTGGGAATTTGAATGATCATTGCCTGGCCCTGTGAGGTTCAACTGAACAGATGTTGTAAACGTTGTGTCATCATCAAGGAGACACAAGTCCATCACTTGGCTGGACAGTATTTACAAGGGTGCCTCAAGTCTCAAATTAATACGTATAATAACCTAAAATTTTATCTTTATTTAAAAATGTTATTTTGCCAAGAAAGATTCCGTGGTGTGCCTGTACATATCTATAAGGATCTACTGTGAATCTGTTAGGATGGGATCTATTAACAACATACATGCTAAGACTATGACAGGGAACAATGAGCCCCAGCTTAGACACAGGATGGGGCAAAGAAATCAAAGATGTGTTTGACAGCAGGCAGAGTTAAAGTGAGGCACATGCGGGCTTTGCTCCTCAGTCTCAGATGCGTTTTGAGCAAGTGTGCTGCTCACACTCCCATCTAGGGGGCAGCAGGACCCTGGAATTTTGCCAATATTCCTTTTCACCTTAATGACACTATGGTCTTCTCCAAAGCAGCAAACTCTAAAGAAGTAACTGTCCTCCTTATGTTATAATAGGAGAATAATGTTACTAGAAACACATAGTATTCTACCCAAAGTCACTAGAAGGAAAGGCTGTTGGAGGGCATTTATAAAGAGAATGGTACAGGTACAAGGAAATGAATATATTACAAAAAATTGGTCACAGAGAAGTCCCCATTTCACTACTGCTACATAAAGTTTATTTTTATGAACATATTTCATATATACTTTCTATTAGAAGTAAGGTTACTGGGAATAAATGTATGTGTATTTCCAGAATTTGACATATGGAATTTTAAGTATGTAAGAATTAAAATCTGCTGAACAAAGCACTTTCCCAACAAATGTAAAAAATAAAACATTTAAAATAAATGTAGGAGCTGGGGATTTACCTCAGAAGCACAGCGCCTGCCCGGCAAGCGCAAGGTTGTGAGTTCAATCCCCAGTACCGGAAAAATAAAATAAAATAAAAAATAAATAAACAGAATAAAATAAATGTAAATAGACTTGGGCTTCCTTAAGTTATTTTGCCAGGCACATTTATTGAATTAGTAATTTTTATTTTGAAAGAGGACTGTGGCTAAACAAACTCCAAACAGGATGCAAAACTCAGCTCCAAACTCTTAACTCCTCTACTGGTTCTCTCTTGGCTGAGACATTAAAACATATTAAATCTTGACAGCCAATAATATTCAAGCAATTTTATTTCTTCTCTCACTTGACCATAGTCAGTAACAGCTCTAAGAAGACAGCATATTAACATGGTAGAAAGTTTTCTTTGATAGTTGTATTTTAGGATATCTTTATATATGCAGATTCTTGTCCCGAACCCTAGGAATAGGGGACTAGGCACTTGAGCCTGAAGATTCAGATCATTCTGGTCATCCATTAGGAAAATGACAACTTGCTTCAAAAACCAACCCACAACAGCCTTGCTTTTCCCAAGCCATCATTATCTGGGCAGAATGAGGAGCACTCATTGTACCTCTCATTTCTAGTCAAGTCTTGTCTTTGTTATAGTTTGTCCTGAATTTTTACTTAGCAACATTTCACAAGTATGGTTGGGTAAAACAATTTTTTTTTTTTTTTTGCTTAGGGTTTTCCAATGTTCTGGAGTAGCATCCCTTACAGAAATATTCAATAGAAACCTTGCATGATTGTCTTTATTTTGCAAAATATATAGTACTGACATTTTCTTTTTTTCTTGGAGGGAGATAATAGAGTAATAGACCAAATGGGAAGAATTCTTTTCTGAGTTATGGATAAATCTTAATTTTTGCACCAACTTCTTACTCATCATTAACTGCCAAATCTTACAGTTATAAAAGTGTTTTTCTAGTAATAATATACTGAGATTAATATTTTTCTAAAACATAGCCACTATTTTAACAGCTTTCATTTAACATTTGGGGATAAGCACAGTAATGACTGATGAAATGTAAATATCCTTCAAACATATAACTGATCTTTTTTAAAAAATATTCTGTTAAAGTATCTTATATGCTATCCATGCTACTTATCTTTTAATATAGACTCAGAAATGTCCCTGTACAATCAACAATCAGACAAAAGATGTGCAATTTTGCCACACTGGCATGAATGACTGCTACTAATCTCGGGTTCCTCTTTCATTAGGTTTTCTATTAATTACGTGTAAAATCTGTCCTTGGCCTTCTAAAACAGTGCTCATGTTTTTCTTTAATTTCAAGTAGATTAAAAGTAAGATTTGGCATTAATTAAAAACTTCCTAATTTATGGGAAATTTAATTAGAAACATTTCAGTGGTGAATATGTAGATGACCTCTCAGTTCTGCTTACTAGCAAGTATAGTATTGAACAGTGGCGAGACACAAAGTGAGTCATTTGAAGAGAAGTATACCATCACCGGCTGGATTGTCTATGTATAGTGTACATCCCACCTAAGAGGAGGATCAACAGCGCAGCATCTCCAGGGATTGTTTTAAACTTTTACAGTGAGTCTGAAAATCTCACTTTTATTTTGAAAATATGGATAGGTTGGGAAGAAGGTAATAAAAGTGCAAAAACTCATCAAGATGAGTCAGTTTAACTGAAACATGATTCTGCAAATCCAACTCCAGCCATCTATGTTTAAGTTGAAGTTAAAATGTATAGGGCAACCGGTGTCCAAAGGTCCCTGGAAGTTTCACATTTTATTATTTATCACCTTAACGAGAGCCTGTTGTGAAAAGGGGCCCTCTTCAATGGGAACGGGTAGTACAGCTATTTTCCAATTAGCGTCTTTGCATGTTGTCCTCCGGCATGGTCAGGATTAGCCTTGTCACGCTGGGCTTCTGAGGGGAGCTCTATCTCCACAGCCCAGGCTACGTATGACAAGATTGAATTGGCACATTGTACTGGACAGCTCTTGTGTTTCTGGCAGCATGCGCCAGGTTGATTCCTCTGAGAAAAGGCTCAGCTGTCACTCAGTGACCCATTAACACTACCATTCCGTCCTACAGTGTCATTTTTCTCATTCTTATGGAGATAATGTTCCCTAGAGATCCCCAATACCTGCAGGAATGAAAGAGAACAGCAGACAGGCTACCTATCAAAGGGGGGTGGGTGGCAAAGAGCACAGTAAGTCCACCAATTCCAACGGTAGAATCTTAAATGGAGGAAAAAGATGGAGCCTACCATGAGAGCAGGCTTGAGAAGGTGGGCGAGAGGATCCAGTTTTAAGAGGTACCATACCTTCTTAACAAGCTAGTTTTCCTCTCTGCCTGAATATCAAAAGAAATGTCCAAAATAACATTTGCAAGTAGTATGAGGAAGGCAGCTGTTCTGAATGTGTACAGGGCAATTTTGGTAAAAATCATCAGTTACAAATTATGTTAGGGACGTAAAGCAGAGCGTGCATTAAGATAAATTACTTAATATGCTAAACAGAAGAGGCTCCCTGAATAGAGCTGGCTTAATTGGGACACAAAATCACTTTCTTAGTAAAAGCACAAAACATGAAAATGATACATGATCTTTATAGCTCGTGCATTAAGCCGTTTTCTGTCTTACGATCTGTAGTTTAAACTCTACTGCCGAGCTGCAGTTCAAACTGCATCATTTCTTTGGTTACTAAGTAGTTACCCTTTCTAACGCTCACTGAATGAAGACGCATTATGGAAAGATGCTTCTCAGTTTCCCAGGTTAAGCCTGATCCAATTTAGACTGATAGAACAGCAAAAGTCAGAACCACTTGAGTCTAGGGAAATTCACTGGAAACAGCTTTGAACATAAGCCCCCAGACAAAATGAAAGATGGTGGGTGAGTCAGAAAATAGGTGTAAGTGTGGGAAAGTTCAGACTTTTTTCACTAAGGTAAGGAACCTGCATCTCAACCTTGCCTCATGTCTGTTGAGGAGGAAGCGGATACTCTCGCGACCGACTCGCGTCCAACCGCGGTGCAGCTCGCTCCCGGCGGCGCGGGTGCTGACAGCCGCCGCGGGGCCGCGCCTGTTTCGGAAGGGGCATCAGCCTCGCTTAAAGGAAACTTCTTCTGTCACTGGAGGTTATGTTGAAAACAGTAATTTGAACTCCAAATAATTTGCACATTTGTCACAGTAAAATAAATATGGTGTCCGTTGGATAAAACTCACACGGACTCTAAAGCTCACAAACAAAGCAGGAAAGAACCTGAGTAGAAGACCGCCGGGAACCCTGCCAGTGGAACTGGGTCGGCCCGGGGCGGGGTTCGCGGGGCGGGGCCGGAGCCCAGCGCCGGCTTCCCAGCCTCGGGGGCGGGGCTCGCG